TTAAATATTCAACGGCTCCAAATAAAAATTGTGCACCAAAGGAGCAATCAGAGCTTTCATTTTTAGGAAAGCGAACCGTTGACCTACAATGCGAAATTTATTAAAAGTGATCGACAAGCGAGGACAAATAAAATTATAGTTAATTTACCTATACAATTCCTCGGCCCTGCGCTGAAAGGTAAGTAGGAATAAGGATGACGATTCTGTATCTTCTCAGGCAAGAATCTATCCGGATCAAATATTTCTGGATTTGGCCAAAACTTAGGATCTTTGTGAGCTCCGAGAAAATTAAGAAATAAGATCGTCCCTTTCGGTATGACACATGATTCTGAAAAGGATATTGTAAAATTAAAAGATTCTAAAATGTATGAAAATAAGAGTTATTTGAGGAAAATAAGATATAATATAATATTATATTCGTAAAATACTAATGTGTATTAATCTTATTTTACATACGATGATATATACTTTGTGGTGTAAAACGTTGAAAAATATATATAATATATACAAAAATCTAATAATTAATTACTCAATTTTATATCCTCTGCAACATGTCGTGATACCATAAACACGCTGGGATACAAACGTAGAGCTTCTTTTATACATCTTTCTAAATATGATAAATTTTGCAAGGATCTCATATTAAGTTTTCCTTCGTCCTCTTGCATCACATTATCAACCTCAACCCTCACACGCTCCTGTGTTATTGATAATAATTAAAATATTTTTCTAATTATTATAATTTCGATGCGTGCGCAGGCAAATAAATTCTTAAGAAATTAAAATCAATTGTATATATTTATTTTACAACTGTTTTAATTCTTTAAAAATATATATACTAATATATACATGTGTGTGTGTGTGTGTGTGTGTGTGTGTGTGTGTGTGTGTGTGTGTGTGTGTGTGTGTGTGTGTGTTTACGGGCGAAGTCCACAAGGTGTGCAAGGCCGACATTGCCGGGCGATGTCAGTATTATGTAACGTTCTTAGACAAAGCCCGCTGAAATGGTTTATTAAGTGACATAGCCCGGTTTGATGTAGGCAAAGTCGACGCTGCCTATTCGGCTATAGCAATGTCAATAATCATATTGTATTGCGAATATTTTAAGAGGGCAAAGTCGACATTGCTAATTCTTCATGTGCGAAATTACGCTAGTCCGTATTGTGTAGTCCTGATTTCTCAATTGTTAAGTGATGATTTAATCGATTGACTAGGTACAAATCTGAAAATATTTATTTGAATATAAATGAGAATAAAGCGCAAATATTTTTATTACAATGACCTTAATTTTTAATCAGTCGCAGACTAAAACAAAAATATAACGTATATATTAATATAAAATTAACATAAAATAAAAATTCAACATAACATTCATACTCTCCTACATATTCCTCTAGCATATGAAAATAGTCGTTATACTTAGGTACAGTTACATAAAATAAATATATAATAGGTAAATATTAAGTACAGTTAAATAAAATATGTTATTTAAGGATATTATTGCTCGTCAAAACTAAACATTAAAATTTTTTATTTTAATCAGTCGCAAATTAAAACTAATTAATTGCTGTATTCATGCGCTAAGCGAATGTGTAGAAGAGATATTTATACCTTATGTTGAATTTTCATTTTACGTTTTATTGAGAAATCAGGACTACACAATACGGACGCGCAGCTTCACCCATGAAGAATTAGCAATGTCGATTTTGCCTACTTGGAACTAGGACGAAGTTCGGCAATATAATAGGAGTTATTGACATTGCTATCGCTGAATAGGCAGTGTCGACTTTGCCTACATCAATCCGGATCATATCATTAATAAACCATTTCAGCGGACTTTGCCTAAAAACGTTATGCAATACTGACATCGCCCGCACAATGTCGACTCTGTACACTGTACACCTTGCGGACTTTGCTCGTAACATATACAGGGTGTTCTAATAAGATATGTCAAAAATTTAAGAAGATATTCCTCACACCTGAAGAATAAAAAAATGTTATATGGACCATAGATGCGGAAATGATTATTTCAAGAGTTATGTTGAAAATACTATTAGCTGTATTACTTACACAAGGAAAAATTTAGGATTAATTATTGCAAACGACAATCGTTTAATTAGGCTTATTTACATTTGGTTTTAATGTGACCTTGAGTATGTTACAATAAATGTTGAAAATGTTCACTATTTTTCTGAATACAAGTAGTGACATCAACGCATCGATTCATGGACACATTCAAAAATGCCTGATGTACAGCGGATTATCTCGCAACCTGCAGTGATACGGTCACGAAGATCTTGAATATCACGCACTGGTGTAGTATGTACGATTGTCTTTAAATGTCCTCACAAATAAAAGTCTATCTGATTGAGATCCGATCACTGCTTGTAGGTATTTGTTGCTTTAGGAAAACGATGAACATTTTCAACATTTATTGTAACATACTCAAATCACATTAAAACTAAATGTAAATAAGCCTAATTAAATAATTGCTGTCTACAATAATTAAATTTTTCCTTGTGTAAGTAATACAGCTAACAGTATTTTCAACATAACCTCAAAAAAAACATTTCCGTATTTATGTCCATATAACATTTTTTCATCCTTTAGGTGTAAGGAATATCTCCTTAAATTTTTGACATATCTTTTTAGAACACCATGTATATATAAAATATATGGCACCAAAAATTTGGTGTCCATACTATTAAGAAAAAAAGTCGTAAATGTAAATAATTATCGCAATATAATGAGAAATAAGTACCTGAATATCTTTATGTTCAGCTAATAGTAATAAAGTAAATATTATAGCCATCGATGTAGTATCATGAGCCTGTAATCATCATCATATTGTCATATCGTTATATATGCTTATGAGAGAGAGATGTATACAAAAAATTAAAAAAATAATAGATACCTCAAACATAAAAGTATCGACTTCTTCTCTGATGTCCAAATCAGTTACAGAATTTTCTCGAGATGCCGCTATTAAAAGATCCAACATGGCTAGTCGCTTTTTTTTAACTGGAAATCAAGCATATTAGTAACAATTTCACTTTCGCATATTGCGTTAATTTCATAATATAATTCTTGTTTAAAATTTAAATTCTATTACAAATAATAATGATTTGCAGCAAACCACTACGAGTGGATATGTGTTTAATATAAATGATACAAGCATAATTTAAAATATTGACTGCACTGTCAAACTTAAATTAAAAATTTTGATCTCTTACGTACTTCCAAATATTTCGACATCTTCTGTTTCTTCATTACTTTCAAGATTTTTTAAATACTGATTGTTAGTAAGTTGGTGATAAAGCTTTCTTTCTGCGATAATCTATATACAATATTTAATTTTTAAGAATCTTTGTATTAATAACAATATTATTTTATATATAAATGAAGTATGAAGTATATAATTTAAGGTGTTTTATTACATACTTTTTCCGTAAATCCGTGCAATATTTTCAAGAGTTTCTTTTGCTTTCTTCCTTTTGACGACAATGAGAATAACATATCGTTGTAGAACCAAGGCCTGAGGAATCTAAATTCAATAAAGTTATATAATTGTAATTCAATAAAGCTATAATAGCTTCAATAATTCACTAATTTAATAAAGCTTTAGCTCGTAATTCAACAAAGCTATAATTCCAATAATAATATAATTTTGTAAAAGCCTAAAACGTTATTTGTAAAAGCATCATAAAATCAAAATAATCTTTAAATAGTCATAAAATATAGAGAATAAATGAAAAATTGAAAATTATGTATGTGTTATGAAAAAGAATCTTCTAAAAACATTGTACTTTTGTTTCAGCTATAGATTTTTTTGATCAAAGACAATTTCTCCTTAGATTCTATTATACAATTCATTTTTACTTTATTTCTCAAAATTCTAATATTTCAAATTCTTATAACACTTTAAGAGATTAAAAACTGCAAATAATATTTATCTTATAACAAAACGTATAGTGGAGCACGAAGAGTATATTTTTATTGTAACTTGTCCGCTTAAGCGATTTGGTGTCTTATATTAATTGTTTATTTTCTTATGACTATTCATTAATTGATCTATTTTCAAAATATATATCATAATAATAATTATTACTTAAAAAATCGTAGATACATCACATCATTATATAGATTTATTGTATATCAATTAATATATAAAATTACCTATAAACCAACAATTCTATTAAATCGTGTATCGCTTTTCGATATTCTTGATGGAATGTGCCGAGTTTTGATAGGGAGACGCCCATAGCAGTTTCTACAAATGCATTTATTATAAACGATTAAAATAATAGTCAAAAATTTAAAGGATAGCTTTGAGTATAAAAAAAATCGAATATTATCTATCGCGATTAAATCGATATACTACATAAAAATTATCTCCTTACCTTAAAAAATAATCATTTAAAATGAAATTCTCATATACATATAACAATGAGAATTTTACAGAAATCTTACCGCATATCGCGTTTAAAGTATGTTCACTGACAAATGGTAATAGATCTTTTACAACTGTCCCTCCGACATCTTTCAAAGACTTTGTCATGCAATCACCCTCTTTGATCAAAATATCAACAAATCGATTCAACATATTAAAATGAAATGCAGGTGTTAGTATCTTTCTTCTTGCGTGCCACTTAGCGCCTAAAACAAAAAAACAAATTTGTGCAATAAAATACAAATAATATGTTATATAAGATGTCTTTATTAAAGTATCTCTCTTAATTTAATGTTTATTGATAAATCCTTAAATAACACATTAATATAGTACGCTAATTTTTCTTATATATCACAAAATTGTTTTATAATCTTTTAAACTTCTTCTTATGGAATTTTTACGGTAAGAGAAACTGCAAGTATCAACGTGGATTTAGTTATTATTTTGGAATTAATTCTTTACAAATTAGAGAGAGTAGAAAGAACAGAAACAGAAACGGGATAGAATAGAAATAGCAGATAGAAATAATTAATATTAATATATTAATATAACATTAATATTAATATATACATATAAGTCCATTACGTGATAGTGTTTGATTTAACTAAAATTTGATTTAAATAAAACCTCTCTATTACTTCTATTTATTTGAGAATACATGCATCTTGGCGAAATTATCTCTCAATATAATCACACCCAAATTTTTTTTAAATCTACTAGCTTATACAACAAAGGAGTTGTATAAATTCACCGTTTAAGATAATATTCAAGTCTAAGTATCATTTTATTTAATTTTTTATGATGAAACAGATCGATCAGAAATTGTAATAAAAAAGCAGGGTTGGGAAAGTTACTTTTTAAAAGTAACTCGTTACCGTTACCGTTCTTTTTTCTAAGAAGTAACTTGTTATCGTTACCCGTTACCAATTTTCAAAAGTAACTCGTTACCATTACCGTTACTTAAAAATAACGCGTCGTTACAATTTTCGTTACTTTTTAAATATAGGTTTATTAAATATTACAAGGTTTATTTTAATTTTTCCTCCTGCACAAAATTTATAGGCAAAGGCAAAATTTTTTTCGTTGCTAAGATTTGGTCGAAATTGAAAAACTTTAGAATATGCCGGCCATGGAATTTCACATTCCATTTCCTTTGAAGATTGAGATGTACTTGTTTCTTCCATTATTTTTTATTTTTTACTATAATCTTCAGATTAAGATACAAATATCTTTTTGAGATTGAATATCAATACGTATGCCATGTGGAAAATGACTATAATGCCGGCAAACTAAGCAGCTTATGCGAGCACGTGCTTGCACACTATTATAAGAAACAAAAGTTGTTACAAAATCTCAAAGATGAGATTTTTCTCATAACATTAAGAAATATAATAAACAAAGTTAAAGGCTCCTCTAAATTAACAAATCAATAATAAATAGTAAAAGGCAGTAAAGAGCCAACGCAGTTGTAGGGCGTGGATAAAATAATTTCCAAGGCAGCAAATTCAATTTTAACAATCCTTTCGCTTTATTCCAATCGTTTCGGACTCAATTCGAGCCTTCTTCAGTGAATCTAATAAACACAAAGAAAAGATAAATAAATCAACTAAGGAAAAAATAAAAACACAATCTCAATAAATGCAAAAAAGAGGAAAAAGCATAGTCAGATGTATGCATGATCTATAAGAGCGACGCGACTTCGTCAAGGCTGGTCCATCTGAAAAAACACGATGCAAAAAGTCCTCTCAACGGTACAAAGCGCGAAGAGCGATGCATTAACAAAATAAAACCAAAACTAGTCACAAATCTTAAAAAAGAGAAATTCATTAACACTAATTAAAGGCAACTCACTCACTCAGACAAGAGACAAACCAGCAAAAACGAAACGAAACAATCGACAAGCTCAAAATCGAATAGGCCGATAATTCAAACAGCAACGGTAATAATGTCATATTGTGGTCGGTAATAACAAGAGGACAAAGCCAGTCAAACCGAAAAACAACCCGCTAAATCTTGGGCATGTTTTCAACTATCGATAGGCACGAAGTACTTAATTTTACAGTATCGCTTTGGAGATTCAACGCATTTTTTTGGCGCTTAATATAAATCATTTCAGAAATGAGTCTTTTTCCTAAAAACGCTTCCTCATCCAAAATCTCGACATCATCAAAATCAAATGTGTGATTAAGCGCTCTATGTTCTGCAATGACGGACGTAAAATTCCTTCTATGTTCCTTGATTGTCGTTCTTGACAAGCGACCTGTTTGTCCTACGTAAGAGGCGTCGCAATCTGTGCAATTAATTTTATATACAATATTACTACGAGAATCATTCAGTAAACAGTCCTTGCCGACTTTAATAAATTTGCGCAAAGTATTTATTCCGGTGTAAGAAAGCCTGACATCGAGATCTCTGACGCAGTATCGAAAACGTTCTGATATGTTCTTCACATATGGAACGTTAAAATATGTAATCTTATTACCACCTCTCTCATCATCAATCACAATCTCAACATCATTTGAACCGTTGTCATGTTTGTTATTAAATCTATGAAATAGAATATTCAGTCGATCAACAATTGTGTGAAAAATAAGAGAGAGCGGATATTCGTTGTTGAGAAAGATGTTAACAATAAATTCGAGATTGTCTTGATGAAATTTAGGATGAGAAAGCCAGAAAACTTTATCTATTAACCCAATGATCGTGCCCTTCTGGCAAAGGGGATGTCGCAACTCGAAGTGGAGGTACCTTCCCGAAAAAGTTGGTTTATGAAACCAATTGAATTCAATATGTCCATTGTTTAAAATAATAGTGATGTCAAGAAAATTCAAACGGTTGTCGACACCCTCCTCAACAATGAATTGCAGTCTTGTATGGAACGAGTTAAAAATGTTCAGGACAACATTGAGCATTGAGGAGGGAGCCGCCAACACGATGTCGTCAACATATCTAAAATAAAACGGAAGGTCCATAGGTAGAGCTACGATAGCCCTTGACTCTAAATCTTGAAGCGTGATCTCAGCGATAATCGGGGAAAGAGGAGAGCTCATGGGCGTGCCAAATGTTTGTTAATAACAAACATCATTAAACATAAAAAAAGTGGAATTTAAAATAAAGCGAACTGCCATTACAAATTCATCGCGAGGTATCCGGCAATTGATTCCTATATGGTCCCATCTAACAACCAAACTATTAATGGCCATATCCAAAGATATATTGGTGAATAGTGAGACAACATCCAACGAAATCAATTTTACATCACCATCAATACGTTTGCCGTTCAGTCTCTCGACTACTTGCGCGCTGTTAATAATCTGACTATCAGGTCTCGGGATAGATTTATAAATGACGTCATGTAAAAATTTAGCGAGACCATAAAGCGGCGTGTTTTTCGATGAGACTATTATGCGTAACGGATTGTTCTTCTTATGAATTTTCGGCAGCCCATAAGCTCTCGGTAAAACGCCGTCTGTACAATTTAACGATCTGTACTTCGAAACAGAGATGTAATCACGAGCTCTCCACCTCGCAAGCATTTCATGAAGACTACTGATCAATTTATTAATCGGGTTCTTATTAACTAATTTATAAGTGTCTTTATCAGGTGTCTTTATCTAACAAACTAGACATATTAGATAAATAGCTGTCCTTATCCAACGCGACTGTTATGTTGCCTTTATCAGCCCTCGTAAACAAAATGTCAGGATTATCTTTGATGAATTTTTTTGCAGCGTTAAAGGAGTTCAGAATAATTTTATCGGCTGGAGGCGTATATGAAGTAGAATTATGAAAGGAGTTTATAATGGGAAAGGATCTATTTCTCACAGTCATACGAACATCCACGGGCAGTTTGTCAATGCTATACTCCACGTTCTTTAATAATTCGACGATCGTTCTTTCCTTGAGAGCATATAGGATGTCCCATTTAAAAAGTTGGATGTGATCTTCACGTAACCTTTAGGTGACTTTTCAATGTCAAACTAATGACACCACCTTATGTTTCCCTTCAAGCCATACAACTTTTGTCTGAAACATTTTTTTGTAGCTGGCGTAGTTTAGGAGAAATTTGGATCCATCGATTAAAATGGGACACTCTGTATATAATAGTCTTAACATCACGGAGCGCCGCTAGCGCAATCTTACGTCGAATGCGGCAAACGTACAACTTTTTACGCTTGCGCATTGGGGACTTGAGCGACGATGACCAAGGAGACGTTTCTTAATGAAAATTTTTCATATTTTAACTTTGGATCATAATATTGCTGTTCACGATGCACGTAGAGCAAAAATAAAGACACTTTTCTTATATAAATCAATCTCAAGCTATCCATTAAGCCTAATAAGAACTCGATCCGTTCAGCGATTATTTCAATATGATAATCTCGAATATCTCCAACTATCCGACTCACGTAAAGATACACGGCGCGTCTTGTTGCTTACGCGGGACTTAGCACAAGACACTACTGTGTCTCTTGATATTTATTTTCTCTATATATGTGTGATCGCGACTGTGATCGTGTACATATTTATATATTTTATGATATATCGATTGAATTTTCATTAGCTACAACGAAATGGGCATCTATGATTCACCAGCGATGATCACATTTATCACGAATATGAGATCCCAACTATTGCATACATATATTGGTCACTCAATGGGCGCAAATAGTTTTTTCATAATGGCATCAGAGCGTCCGGAAATCGCGCAAATGATGATCAGTCTCGCACCAGCAGTCTTTAAAAACCACATGCAGAGTCCGATACAATACTTCTACCCATTTCAAAATGAGCTTAAGGTAAAGTAATATAATGTGATACAGTATTAAAAGATATACACTTAATTTTTACTATCATGTAATAATTATTTAAAACAATGCGAAAAAGTTAAGTACATCTTTAAATAAAGTACTTTTTTATTAGAGATAAAGTTTTGTAAACTGTTATTTAAAAAAGGAAAAATAATGTTAACAACGTTAGAAATAAATGTTATGGCACATAAACAATGTAAAGAATATGACGATAGCAATAACCAAATCGATATTTCTGATATATTAGCTATTTAAATTTAATAGTCAATTTATATTATTACTTGACTATGATTGATCGATGTGCTCATTTATTGCTTACATTACTTTATTGTAAGCAATAAATGAACACAATCATATATTCACTTTATGTTAATAATATTATAATGTATTATTTTTCAATTCTTATGCTATCAATACAAAGAAACAAATTTCTGGCAAAATAGAAAATTTGTCTGACAATAAAATATCAATGATAAATGCACTATTTATTGCTTTTTTAATAAAACTTCCTTTAAGGAAATTAATTCTGAACATTAAATCTGAACATTAAATCTGAACATTATTTAAAATCTTACATATTTTTCACTTGCTTCACATTTTGTTTGTTTATGCTGGTTATGTATATATTCTTGCTTCACATTTTGTTTGTTTATGCTGGTTATGTATATATTCAATTTTGGATTACAATTATAATTTTAAGACATTCTCTGACGATTAAAAATTAAATTTGTAATGACTTTTAAAGCTTTTTTTATAAATTATTTTAATAAATTTAAAAAATTGATTAAAAATTTATTAATTTATTCTCAAAATTAAAAGAAAACTCGGACATGAAAAGTTACAAAATTTGCAATAAATTACATTGTTATTAAGATATTTAAGATATTTGCAGTTGGCGATGCAATTGTTCTTTCACGATGAATTCTTCGGTGATTCTGTAAGATTTCTTTTGGAAGATATCTGTGACCAGAACATTGAATTTTGTTTCAATATGATATCTATGATCTGGGGTGATGATCGCGAACAGTTTAACATTGTAAGTAATAATAATTTGCTGTTGAAATACAATTCGGATCGAATCTTCGAACATTGCATTCCGTGACGATTTCACGATCGCGTGATCACACTTCATATGAAACTTCTTATATATATCATTATTATTTTTTATCTATTGTTAGACTCTGTTGCCTGTCATCTTGAAAAATGCTCCGGCCGGCACCTCGATTAAGACTATTCTGCATTTCATCCAGGTATTTGAATCAGGCAAGTTTCGCAAATATAATTACGGTCGCGAGAGAAATCTATTGATTTATAATTCGACGGAACCACCAAATTATAATTTATCGAATACCACAGTACCAATCGCGTTGTTTTACGCCGATAATGACTGGATAGTTGACACAGAGGTAAGTAATGGATATTTATTTAAAAATAATGGAAATGTATATCGGAAGAAATTACTTGACTATAAATATACTATAAATCCAATATTAAATTACTTAATTGGAAAGGTAATTTAAAAGAAATCGCATACGATAACTTACAAAAATATATCTTCAAGGATGTGAAAAGGTTGTACCATTCACTGTCCAATGTAGTGGATATGTACGAAGTGCCGTGGTCCAAATTTAATCATGTGGATTTTATATGGGCAAAAGATGCGCCAAAACTGGTATACGATAGGATTCTCAAGATCATGAAAGGAAAAAATCCAAAAAACGTTACATCAATCAAATAATATTGTCAACAATCAAAATTAAAGATAAATGTTACACTCTAGATTTCAGTAATATTGTAATGTGATGATTATAATCATTCATTTAATCAAATGTAAACTTATAATATCTTAGTATTCTTTACAATATCTAAAAATGTTTACTAAGCGTTCATCGGAAGCAAAATTGTTTTATAATTCGTAAGTGAAACAATTAATGTAGAAACATTTAATTCCCAGTTATTTTTCACTTGTCTTGTTTTATATATGATTATTAGACCTATTGTTTAAGATGTTTAATATTATATTCATTTTGGTGTTTGAGTCATTTAATTTTATTTTTGCGATTACAATGTATTTTCCGAATTATACGACACATAATATGATGGATAATACTTCACCAATTTTTTTATATATATAGTTTCTATCCATTTGTAATAAAAATAATTAATTTTCTTGGATTTTTTTGAAAA